AGGAGCATTCTTCAGAAGTGAACTTACAATGATTTTTCCGCTTACACTTGTTTAGGTTAAAACGGGTTGGCCTGGCCTTTTCTGTAGTCATGAAAGCCACATTAAGAAGATCAATTGGTTCTTCTATAGGAATATGACGGTCAGCAAGGGTTGCTATAACCATGGAATCAATGCCTCCAGAAAAGAGAATTGTGACATTTGCTTTCCTACCGCGAGTTTCCAAAGCTTCATTTGGCTTCAAGCTATCATCCCTCAGTAAACATAAGACCCGCCTCTTGACTGAAATGCTCAGGACATCAATGAACTGTTGAACCACTTCCCTCGTGTGTGTTGAGACAGACTTGAAGGGTCTCTCTTGTAGGTGGGCCTCTGGAAATGTCGGTGCAATGAGTCTCAAAGGGACCTTGTGGCAATATCATATTTAAAGGAACAATAGGTTTTTCAAGATATACTTTGGCTTCACTTGCTTCCACCGATACAAACTTAGGCAAATTTGCTGAAATTTGGGTCAGGCTACCAACACATTTTTGGATAACCTTCTTCCCAAAATTAGAATTCCAAGTATATAATTTTAAAATCACACACTTGGAAGTGGCAGTAGACGAGATCAATTCTGAAAATTCCAGATACGGGAACTTCCTGCCACTGACTGGCCTCTCCAGATGTCTGGGTGCCAACTGAAGAGAGGCAGAAACTTTCACTCAAGTTGTTAAAATGCCAAAGCAAGCTACGGCGCCCAAAAAAGTCCCCACCAAACCGTAAAGAATGACTAGATGCTTGATAATATATGAAAGACCAAGGACCCTGGGCGTTTGAGAAGAGTGACAAAATGTCAGATTCATTTGTACAAGAGAAAAGACAGTTAAACATAATTCGAGTAACATTCTCCTGAGTTTCGACTTTTATTCCACTAAAGACTTCTCTATTCCATAGGAACACATTGCCTCCTTCATCTTCCAAAGGCTGGGCAGTTACAACGCCTCTCAAGTGAAGGGTGTGTCCAGAAAACAAGTGCTGGTAATTAGCATCACACTTTAACAACTGTTTACTGCTGCTGGGCCCTCGCTGTTTAAGATGGTACAGTAAGTCCACTCTCAAATCTCTGCTGACATGTTCAGCAGCAAAGCTGACAGAACAAATGCCACACACTCTTGACCTTAGTTTTGAGTTTTCCATTTCTTGGTATTCTTTTTTCAGTTCATCCAATATATTTTTTATTCCAGAAAGCATTTCAGTTCAGTCTGCCAGAAAGAATAAGTTGCTGTTTTGCTGATGCTTATATCCTTTCTCTGTTTGGACAGCTGACAGCATCTCCCTTTTGTATTTCTTCAAATCACGTTCCTTTCATGTCCCTCATGTTTTTCTTCAGGTTAGAAAGTTCATCCACAACAACTTTTTGTTCTTTAATCTTGTTGCTAAGATCCTCTTTTTGTGGGGTCCAGTCTTCAGAAGGGACAGGCCCAGAGCTGAAATCTGGGGGTGCCCCGGAGCCGGGCACCTCCATGGAACGTTGCATGGACACTGGGCGCCGCCTACTTGAACTTTGATTTCTAATGAGCATTGTTTATACTTTTTAAAAGTACAGAAATGAAAAGGCAAGCTACTAACTACCTAGTTAGGAAATAAGTTATTTGTAGCAAATCAAAATTTGAGTCTCTTTGTCTTATCCTTTTTTTGTTCTCGTTAGAGATGAACAAATGAATGATGAATTTTTTTGAGCAGAACCTTCACTTTCCTTTATATTTTACATATAAGCATGTTCTAGGTTTCAAATCATGTGCTCATGTGAACTGTATGACAACTTTGGTGATTGTTAGCCCTGTGCCAAATTAAGGATGTGATTCTTGGGGATAAACCAAGAAACTGACTGCTGTTGCGTCAATTCTGGCTCATACCAACCTTGTGGGACAAAGTAGAACTGCCCCATAAGCTTTCCAAGCCCATCGTCTGTGGAAGCAGACTGCCACTTCTTCTGTGGGGCAGCTGGTGTCAAACTGGCAA